AATCAAGCGAGCCAAGCTCTCCAGTGGAAAATGTAGCTGCGTAAGGGAGAAGAACAGATCCGACACGGCCAAAGCGGTTAAAATAATAGTGGTTATTTCCCTTAGTCCATTGTAAACTAGGATTAAAATTTTGAGGCTGTTCCCCGCAATTCCAATGAAACAAAAAGCTGGAAGAATGATGCCACTGAATATAAGATTGATATAAAACAAGTCTGTTTTAGAAATATCAAACATTGCGTCTGCTACAATACTATTGTTTTTGTATTCCATCTCTTGTTTATCTCTTGCTATGTAAATTAGATTAACTATTCAAGTAATTATACGTGAAAACAAAAAATACATACATCTTCGTGCCACAAGACAATTATTTTTAAAGAAAAAATTACTCGAACCTTTACAAACACACACTAAAGAATTTTACTATGAATAAGATATCAAGCTCTTTTTACTATTGATCTTATTTCTATTTTAAATTTAAGAGTTTTTAATGATCGTATTCATGTTTACTGCTTGCAACTTTTATGAATATCCTAATATATAAAACCCCACGTTCGCACCTCTCTCTCTCTCTCTCTCTCTGTCCGCAAAATATTTTCCCCGGACATCACGTCAGAATCGGCAGCGATATATGGATACCTTTATACGGACTTTTGTTGAAAATAATATGTTAGATGTTTTAAATGTATAACCACAATTTTATTTAAAGAAGAAAAATAAAAAATAAAGGCGTATTCGAATGTAAAGAAACAGTACTATTTATGCAACCGGAAAAGTATTTAAACTTGGGAAAGAACGCATTTAACAATGACGTCGCTTATTGTTTACACTTAAAAAAGAGCACTAAACTGATGACGTCATCTTCCGAGTTTAGAATAAAAAGAAATGAACTATTTCATTCAAATATGATTTAGAGCTATGTACGCTATGAAATGTATACAATACGATTTTCTCGGCCTAAACTTAAAAAAAATTATTTTATATATTTGGATTCTGGATCTAGATATTCTAGATCTAGATATTGATCTAGATCTAGATATTCTAGATCATCTAGATCTAGAGATTCTAGATCATATAGATCTAGAGATTCTAGATCTAGATCTAGATGATCTATAAAGCTAAGTTGTCGGGTGCCCGATAGGGGACTTCCCGGCGCCGCAGGCGCTTCAAATTTTGCAGGATCTTGCCTTGGGGCGACAGAACACGGGGGCCGGTTGGCCGAAAAGTCTACGATGAGGGGGTCAAAACTGACCTCGACTGACCGGCGCCTTATATGGGCGAATTAATTAAGCATTCAAATTCTCAATGTTTTCGAAAGCCTAAGCGAAGCTGGGCAGCATGCCTAGTATTACCTAAATAGCGTAACGTTAAAAGATGTGTTATATTCCAATAAATCTTCGGTTTAGAAAATTAAAAAGGAAGCACACATCGATACATCGATCCCGTAAACAGGGTTATCAATTTCTTGTCTACTCATTTAGAAAACCTAGATATAATTAGATAGCTGGAACTGATTGTGTGTAATTATTGCAAACGTTAAATTGAAAGGTTTGCAGCATAAAAATTATGTTTGCTAGTTGTGTGACAATGTCGCATTTTATTTAACATAAATATTTTTTTGTTTGTTATCTATTTTGTAGGGTTTCTATAATAATATTGACTATGTAAAATTTGTCTTTTTTATTCGTCGATAGGTTAGCATTTTTCCTCTCCTAGGCCGTAGACCACTGACAAGAACTTTCCAAGCACCTCTGTCAAATCAAATTTTTTTTGTCTTTTTCCAGGTTCGGTCTCCGGGATTTCATTAGTCCGATTTTTTTTTCATTTATCTAATGGATTCCAGTTGAAGACGTAGGCCGCTGACAAGAGCACTTCAGGCTTGGATGTCCTGGACTATGTTACGGGTCAGTTGTAGGTTATATAGAAATAGGTTAGAATAATCTAGAACTAGGGGAGAGTTCGTATGTGGGTTGAGTTTACCCAAAAGTATTGTTAACCCCGGTGTCTTTATGTATTGTTATCCCAAGTGCAAATGCGGTATAAACGGGGATTAGTTGGTAACGGTTAGGACGAGGGCTGCTCTGTTATGTAAAGAATTGAGTGCAAATAAAAGTATTAAAGTTAATTACGGATCGTTTCCTGAGTTTAACCAAACAAGGAAGTAACAGGCTAGTCTTTTTTACTGTCCTTAGGTGTATCGAATTTTCATGGCGTCATTAGCAAGATCAAATTTTCAGGTCTTCCTATGTTGGTCTCTTCTACTGTTAGCCCTGTGGATTTAGCAAGGTGAGGGCCTGTATTGTTTTTCGTTTTAATATTTCCCTTTTTTTTTAACAAGATTTATGTTGTTTTTCTAAATATAATTGTCACCCTAACAAACATATTAATTTGCATGACTGAATCACTTGCTAGAGTGTTAAAAAATAATTACATCATTTCAATTAAAGTGTAAACATTTTTTGTACTTAATCGAACCACTGCGTTTTTCGTTTCGTCGTTATTGTTTTAACTTACCCTGGAAATATTTCTATTTTCGATCTTTTTATTTATTATTCAAATGTACAAAATTTAATCACGACAAATGCAAAGTATCATGTAATAAAGTTCATGTTTAAATTTTATTCTATGTTACACACACATGATACAAATAAAATGTGTTTTTAATTAGTTTAATCGTGATAAATGGTTTAGAAAAATATATAGCAGCGGCAGAAATATTTCAAGATATAAACAAATTGTAACCCTTTTAATAATTATTGTTTTAATGTTAACTGAAAAAAAGTTATTATATTAATTACGATATACTATCTCGAATGTATGCATTAAAAAAAAATATGTTCACTATTTTTTACAAGCTTTTTATTAACTTGCTTCCTCTGATTTTTCTTTCTGTCTTTCTGTCTGTCGTTGTAGATTACGACTACCGAGCGACATTTCAATCACATGTAACTGACCGATTCGTTTCAAACTTGGCACTTCGGAAAAAACCGATGACAATGCAATCTGACATAAAATTTGACTAAATTGGATGCCTATTTCTTTTTAATGAATTAATGAAAATGTACTGATTAAATGAGTGGTGGTGTATTATTACTGCTCACTTATAAACGCGCATTTTCATTTGGTGATCAATTGTTTTTAGTAATGAAAATCTAGTGTATAAAAAACAATTTAAAGCACTAAAGGCAAACAGCATACAATCTTTTTACTAACAAGCTTTTATCTAATAACACACCTTAAAGGAGAATATATATATATATATATATATATATATATATATATATATATATATATATATATATATATATTCACTACTAATTAAATAACTATAAAAAAAGGCAAGGGTCTCTTCCTGAATATTATTAAAGCTATCCAATAGATAGTAAGCTGACCTCCGCTTTTCACTATAGATATTTAACTAGTAGTGAATTATTATATTTTTAAAGACAATTATTGATGTTCTTTCTTTTAGTGTATTATTATATACAAATTTGTTATTATAGCGTTTTGACAGTTTTCACCGTTTTACACCTCAGTCTTTCAACACATCCGGTGTATATATGACTTATTTTAATCGGGCAAAAATTATGATTCCAGATATTTCAAAATTTCTGCGTTTTATGCGTAATCGTTGGAAAAAACTGGGCTTTGCAATTCTATCCGTATGTGTGTGTGTGTGTTTGTGTGTTTGTGTGTGTGTGTGTGTGTGTGTGTGTATAAACACGATAACTTGATTACCGTTACAGCTAATTTGGTAAATTTTCATATTGAAGTATTGTATCAAATTTTTGGTTCTGTGTCTACTCTTCAGTGATTTCCGATAATCGGAAGTGGAACTTTTTTTACTTTCAATTATTCAAAAGCCTGTAAATTAGGTACTGTTTCGGATAGATAAATGAAATTTCACAGATAAGTAAAAGATCTAATTCTCTGCTTTTAGTTACTTTTTTATTAATTTCCGTTGACCGGAAGTAGTAATTTACGCTATTTGTGAATTCTAAAAAAACGCATATGAGTTTATAAAGTACTAATAATATTCCGCACTATTATATACATATTGTTCTTCGTTCACTTGGTGTACAATTCTTTTTTCTACAAGATTTTATTCTTTCTTACAAAGTTTAAGTTATTAAAAATGGATTAAAAATCATTTCTATATCTTGTTGTGTCATCTTCTGTAGTGCTATATAAGAAAATTTAGGGAGATCACTCCCTTTTTTTTATATTTCATGTGCCAATAATTTATTCCTCATAAAATGGTTAACACATGTATATACAGGAGGACAATATCTTTATAGAAAATATCCAATTTCAACTGTATTGCTTGTTGGTTTTAATATCAGTATCAAATACGGTTATTGTATTAATAATGATATACTATTTTTGTACACGCTATATATATATATATATATATATATATATATATATATATATATATATATATATATATATATATATGTCGGGCACACTCGGTTTTCTTACTTAAAAAAATTTTGTATTATTTTTGTTTATTAATCATTAACGTAAGTAGAGCTACATTATCAGACCTTACTATACATTTGGCAGATAAGGTAGATTCAGTCTGTTTCTGTGATGTCTTCATATTTTTGCTTATTTGTAATCATTAACGTAAGTAAAGCTACCATTTTTAGACCTTAGTATACATAAGGCATATGATGTAGATTCAGCCTGTTTCTTTGATGTCGTATTAAGAAGGGATACTGTTGTGAGTACTATGCCTACCGCTTTATTTTCCTAAAGTAAATCAAGTACTCATTAGATTTGAGTTAATACACTGCAGTGTTCTACGGCATTTATCCCGGAATCCGAACTCGAAACAATTGGGTTAATATCATTTTCTCTGCTCTTCAACCACGCCTTCCCAGATGCAAAGCGATACTAAAATGACAATAGATCTCAAACAAACAAAAATTATTTAAAATGTTCTAAATGATATGCAGATAGGATTAACAAAAACTCATTTATTATAGGAATGCTCGATATTTCTCAATGATTATATTTTACGTAGTTTGATCTCCACAGACTTCACATCTCCAATCCAATAAACCCCTGTAGTTCCAGAAACGTTCCATATTCCATTTAGATTGGAATAATGACAATTATTATACCACCACCCACCGTTGAATGACTGAGCACAGTTACCACTGTTTTCATCGTTATCGCTGTCTATAGTGGTGAACTTCATACCATTATGGTAGCTTAAACCGTCTGTAGCGTTTCCCCTAAATGATGATAAGCTCATCCTGTACTTGGCCGCTTCGTTGTCAACTTTAAAATTGCTGTACTCTGCATATTGTCTTGTATTTCCAATGATTAAATCAACCCTCAACTCAGTGTAACCCTAAAATGTAAAACGTATGTAGATTGTGGGCAGATTAGTGTTAATTATAAGAGTAAAAATAAAGTAAAAACCAGTACAGACAAGCAAAGTAGAACCTTAACGGAAATCTTTGAGCAAAATATTCTCACAACGAATGCTTTTTCTTTTGAAAAAAAAACTTGAGCCACTCTACAAATAAAGTCGTTTCCGAAATTCTAGACATTTTAAATTACTCTTCGTTTTAAGCACTATTCAACAGAACGTTTGTGCTTGATCGTTAACTTAACCACAATTTAGTCACATAATAATCGGGCTGTTTTTGGTACATATTGTATAAACAAAGGTTCTTTTGCATGAAAATATTTTCTCTTTTATCCGAAAATGTTACTCTGGTATTTTGCAGGATTATAAACGTTTAAGACCAGCCACGATCTATTTGATTTTAGAAAATGTGTCTATTTGCGATTATTAACCTATCTCTCCGAAATGTGATTAACTTAAAATCTTAGGTTATGAAGGATTTTTGTCGTTATAGACAGAAAACTACAAGTGTAAGAAATATGTTTCAAGCATGGATTTTAAAATAAAATGGGTGGATTTTAACATTCCTAATCGGATTCTCAAACATATCTTCATGAATAATATGCAAATGTAAAAACATTTTAAAATAATTTTAACAATTGAAAAAGAACAGGTTTAAGCTAACATTATTTTCATTTTATTTTTATCAATTAAATTTTGCGAAGCAATATAAGAGACAAAGTTTAACTCACTATCCTAGTAAGCCATGAGATCCAATCATTTCCAAGCCAGAAATCTCCTGCCGTTGATCCAAACCCATGTTTGTAGTCGTCCCATCCTCTGGTGAAGTTTGCATCGCCCACAACACGACGCTGGTGAGGAAGTTAATAAAATACAATTAAAATAAGTACGAATTAATTTTTAATCTATAATTAATTTACCTTGTTTTGATGAGTAACTATAAGTAAGACTCAGCCATACCACATTGCATAAATTGGTGAAAATAAATGATTATTTATAAAAACAAGTGTACGCCTACATCATAAGTTTACAATCGTTTACTACTACTTTTTATCCACAATAATCTAGCATTTTCTTCACAGTACCTGTATTAGGATCCATCCACCGTAGTCAGTTTTAGTGTCACACCAAGTCAATTTTGATACGTCCAATTGCACAATCTGACGACTTGGCCATTGTGAATTGAAATTGTTTGTACACTGAAAAGAGAATGAAACATAAGGACATGAACAGTTATTTTTTATTTACAATTTTTTTTCAGAACGGCATAAATGACCGATTGAATTATGTCGATTTGTGTCCTTAATATCGCATAAGAGAAGCTATATATATATATATATATATATATATATATATATATATATATATATATATATATATATATATATATATATATATATATATATATATATATATATATATATATATATATTTCACACATAGCCTACATGATCCATTGCCCATACTGAAGACCTATTTTTTTCCTCTACGATATCATTAGGGGTAATACATAAGCTTTTGCTTTTATTAAGTTCAGTTAAAGTTTTGTTTAGTTCCTCTTCCACCCCACTTAATCGTTCATTAATAAAGCTCATTTGGACTCTAAACTCTTGTGTCAACTTGTTTAAAGTTGATTGGATGATGTCCATTCCATTAGAAGATTCATTTTGTTTATGATTGTCCGTGACTTCTTTGTTGTCAGGATGGCTAATACTGTCAATTTTATGTTCATGGCTACTTGAATGTGACATCTGTAATAACATTTACATGTCAGCTCCCTTAAGTTTATCTGGATCTTCAAAAGTTTTTAGAAAACCGGCCATAGTGTCCACCGTTTTAACATAGTTTACAGTTTTAGCTTTTAAACTCATCATCAAATCTGATTTCCGCATGTTCTCTTTTCGGTATGCTGCAGTTTCTTTTTCTGTGAACCCAATCTCTCCTGTCTTATACGTGAAGTATATTTCACATTTCAATGTTTTTTCGTGGCAAGCGGAATCATTGGACAAAAACAACTGCAGCTCTCCGCCATGGTGGGATATATTCCCGTCCACAAAAACCCCAGGCACTTTGTAATCTCGAGCCTTTGAATCTGATCCTGAAACAGACGCCAACATGAGCTTGTCCCCTGGTTCGTTGATCACATAGACTGACATGTTGACCAGAGCTGATATCTGAGTGTCTTCTCTTATGTTTTCTGTACACTGGAGTTGTGCACAAAACAATTCCCTCCCCTGGTAAAATAATTCTCTCTTCATATCGATTTTTATACCTACAAATTGTAAAAAAAAACATTAACTGTTTCTTTTAACGCTAGTTTAATTTCATGATTTTACTTTTTTTTTAAAATATAATTTAATTTTTTTTGTGATTCGTAACTTATTTTTGGAAAAAGTAAAATAAAGATTGATGCTTAAAAAATATTATATTTAATATCTTAAATAATACATATATTAAAAAAGATTACTTAAATTGAATGTGATGTTTTATCGATTAATAACATACAGACGTTTGATCGAATTCAATGAACACTTGACAGTTGTATTTAACAATCTTATAAAGTATTAATTCATAATAATTCTTGAAAAAGGCGTAAAATTAATTCTCGAATAATTTACCTACCATAGCACACAAAAAAAATGTGTGGTCAACAGAGTGTACAACACTGTTGAAGACATTTTCATGTAGACTTAGAAAATCTTCGGTGTCCAACGTTGTTAACCGCTGTCTACTTTCTATATTATATACTAAATATCTAAAGTGGTCACGTGGCTAAAATATGACCTCCAGATTGGACAATTTTAAGACAGATTAAATAGGATCTGAGTATTATACAACAATGTACTAAAAATAAACTCGTTTTTTTGCAACAGTGGTACGTGTAATGTTTCAGAAGAGCTTGTAAGTATCAGCTTCTTGAGACATTCCCCGACAAGTTGAGTAAGTGTTTGTACACTGATATTTTGTGTCACAGAGCTGTTCATACAAGAAACTGACTGTTAAGTTTTTCAAGATGTAGCACACAATTGTCGAGTGGAAACATTTACAGTGAAAGGATGCAGCTGGTGACATCTGAAGTGACTTGACTGTAATAGTACTTGCTTTGTACACAGAACGGACTGGTACGCGAAAAGAGATCGTATATTTTTTTTAAATCTTGTGATGCACTAAAAATTACAATACTATCTCTATACTACTAAAACTCAAGCTTGTCTACATGTTTGAATATTTATTTGTTTGTTGTTTTGTTTGTCTGATTGAGTACTGGAAAGTTGTTAGTGTAATCGGCTTGCATGCGGGTGGCACAGGTTCTAGACCAATAGGTCAATGATACATATTTTTTTTTCAATTTTTATTTAATTTTTAGATGCGAATGATACAATTGCATTTCTGAACTTGGCGGGATACAGGGCAGGTGAAGTAGAGTTAATCTGTTTCTTTGTCCTAAGCATTATGAAGGGATAGTTTATTCAGAGATATGCTCGGCTGGAATCGTTTTTTAAACGATAAAAACATGATGTCTGAGACTTGGAAGTACACTGGGCAGGTGAAGTAGAGTTGAGTAGGTCACCTGTCACGTCAGTATATGAAGGGATAGTCAAAAATCGGTGTTTTCGGTGTTTATAAAAGATAAAAAACATCTTTTTGAATGTGGGGTCTGGTTTTTTATGACGATAAGTGACAGACGTGATGTTTTTATGGATGACCCCCGAAACCCACAGTTATCCAACGGATGACGGGTAGTCTAGTTAACAATAAGATCGCTGCTATTTAAAGCACAATTATTTTTCTCACTTCATACTATTCAAAATAAGTGTTTTGTGTTACTGCAAGTTCAATTTTTTCCTTACCAAAAGAGACCTAAAAGATACTTAAGAGTTTTTTTTTAAACCAAGTTATGAAGTAATATTTAAATCACCCTTCATAAAAATAATACCGAAACCTGCCACGTTATTGTATATTCTAAGTGTCTTCATAAAAAACTACACTTGTCATTCCTTTTTTATTTTTCAAATTTGCTTAATATTTTCGATTTTAATATTATTAAGTAAATAATCAGTATTCGTTTCTATATATAGACCTATAGGCCTACGTTTATTGATTTACATTTAGAATTGCATTTAAAAATCTAAGTCAATCAAACCTTTAATGTTTATTATTTAAACTAAATATGTGAAAATAATATGTCTCTATGACGGGAAAAGCTTCAATTGTTTACACAAAGATCTAAAGCTGCATAGATCATCCGAATTACATTAATAAGATTTTATATATAAATATATCTAGTCATGGAATAATATAAGCACATTCTTATTTTACATTCCGTTTATCATACTTCTTAATTTCTTCGTTCTTAATTGTAATGTTGGAAGATATTTCCTCCAACAAAGAAAAGTATTTTGCACTATGTGGGCCGTTGTCACAAATTCCAGCTTGTTTTATTTCTGGAATTGCTTCCATAGCCATTGTCCAACCAAGAAAAAACGACATGGCTTCTGTTTGAATTTGGAGTTATCTCCCCTAGATGGGTCGCTGTCCTAGGTTATCTTGCATCATATGCCAGGGGATCAACCTCGGGACATTTATGATGAACAACAAGAGCTCTACCGACCCGACCGCGTTGACCTCCGTTAATGGTAATGCATTAACGATGCGTGAACAATAGTATCTCTGCCATTGTATTAACGTCTTCTAATAATTACAATATAGGGCCTACTTTTCAGAATATATCTCTTGCACTATAAATATAATTTAAAAAAACAAAACAATAATACGATTGCAGGTGTAGTACTATTTATTTTTTAATATATATATTCTTGAGTCAAATAAAACACAAACAACAGTATCACTTATTCAGAGGCGACTGCCTTTGCCCAAGAGACCCAGGATATTATTAAAAAGACGAATAATTTTTGTCATTATTGGGCGACATTATTATATTACATCATTATTATGTTGATAACACTATTAGAAAACAACATCAATATGAATTGAATTTTTTTTATAATGAATAAGTATTTAAGAATAATAGCTGTAAGACAACGTCTATAATTAAGCGGTTGGACAAAAATATGATTAATTAACTAATATTAACGTCATATACCATCGAAAGTTTCATTAAATTTTAATATTCTTGAGAATCATTGACACAAAAATATTTTTCGATATGTTTTTGCAAATTTCGGACTCAATCTGACATAAACGATAAAATTAACTGAGGCATTAAGTCCATAAATTAAATTTAGGGCGTCATAGGTAAAGAGCCGACCATAACCAGCTTCAAGGGTGAAGGCGTATGCATTCGTTGGAATCAACACTAGACAAATTGCAGATAAACAAATTGTCAGTGAGATTTTAGCTGTTCGAACATTCTTAGTTCGCTTGGAGTGTGACTCAAATGTTGACATTCTCTTCACATTTCTGCTTGACGCTTTAAGTTTTATAATGATAGAAAACGTACAAATCATTTAATCGCTGTTGGAAACAAAATGACCAATACTCCGAGTCCAGTGTTGCATAATGTAAACATGTCATAATTGTATCGTATAAATACACCGTAGTCAAGAACTGGAATCGTACTATTGATTTTATCGTAGAATATCTAAATAACAGTATAAAAAAATGCCCGAGGAATATAAAATCCTGCTGAAATTATATAAAAACTAACTACAATACACTTGATTCTAAATGTTGTAAGCAGTTTAGATGCACCTAAAGGAAACACCACAGCTATCATTCTCTCTACGGCAATGACTGTAGCCATCTGTACGCTGGTGCATATGGCATACTGGTTCTATTCCAGAATATACGCGGTGAAATGCGAGAAGATGTAGTAAAACACGGCGTCGTCAATCAAGCGAGCCAAGCTCTCCATTGGAAAATGTAGCTGTGTAAGGGAGAAGAACAGATCCGACACGGTCAAAGCGTTTAAAATAATAGTGGTTGTTTCCCTTAGTCCATTGTAAACAAGGATTAAAATTGTGAGGCTGTTCCCCACAATTCCAGTGAAACATAAAACTGGAAGGATGATGCCGCTGAATATAAGATTGATATAAAACAAGTCTGTTTTAGAAATATCAAACACTACGTCTGCTACTATACTATGCATAAGATGAAGTTATAGAGACGTTCACTAAAAATAACCAGGCGTGTCTGCGGTCACACCAATAGGGTACGATTTGGCGCCCTGTGCTATCCTATGAGCACTATGGTGCATACGTTATTTTTAATTAGCACCTCTAAATATTGACAAGATGGCACACGACATTCAACGATTGTACCGAGCCAGGGGCCGTACGCGGCAACGCTGCATAATGTAATCGGGGGCTCACAAGAGTGTCCCCTAAGTATCTGCATTCGGTGAGTAATTGATAGTGGTGTTACTGTTAGTAATAGATGTACACTCATGGACATCCGTGCCCCGATAAATATGATTCAAGTTAGTACAGGCGTTGCCCCGGCAGGTTGCAATATGACGACCCGATTATCTCGTGAGCACTATGGCACCTACCATCGTTTTAACCACTTCGATTGACTATTTATAAGATGGGGCATTATAGACGTTCACCAAACGAATCAGGCGCGTCCGCCGACGCCTCTGGAGCATTCGCTTTGCCCCGAGCTTCATCGGATTTTTTTCTAGCCCGGCGTAAATGCGCGGGGACGGGCACTCTGTAACATGTCATTTTCATTTGTGCACACATTTTTCCAAGGCAGAAAGATCTATGTCAACCTAATGTGTGATATAATC